TGGTGAGATGATTTTCTAAAAATTAAGATGGGAGGCTTAAGAATAAGGTAAAAATGACAAAGCCAGGAAGAGAAATGAAAATTGAAGAAACTGTATTTTTGTTTTGGGTTTGGTTTTTTTTGTTTTTGGGGTTTTTTGTGTGTGTGTTTTTTTTTTTTTGTTTGGTTTTTTGGTAAGGAAAAACCAGTATTCATTGGAAAAGGTGGTTGATTTCAAGCTTGGAGCATGAAATAAACCTGACAAGTTTAAAACATGTCATCCCAGAAAGGAAGAAAACTACCAGAGACTCAAAATTCAAAATTCACTGCCAACACACAGTGACCTTTCACTGAGGTTGTAAATGACAATGGAAGACGACTACTTATCTTTCTCCTAAGATCCTATCAAACCATAGGAGACACAAGGCCTTTGGTTTAGCAAAGCAATTCTCTACAGACCATGCCACCAGAGGTCCTGGGTACAGTAAAAAAGAGAAGGATAAATCAAGCATCTTAAATCAAGATAAAAATCAAGCATCTTAAATCAAGATAAATCAAGAATGTTCACTGCAAAGGATGAAAACAAAGACCTGAAGAAGACCTGAAGTTTTTTCCTGTCTCCTCTGCATAATCTGACTTTCAAGAACTCAAACATTTAATATGAGAACGTTTTTTACAGATAGAATTCCAATTAATATATCCAGTATGGATTTAGCTTTTCACCATTCTATAAGCTGTAACAAATGGACCCAGTTTACAATTGTTGTTGTTGCTATGTGCCATTGAGTCACCTGCAATGCACAGGGGCCCTATGTAAAACAGCCCTAAACCCTGCTCTATGCTGTGCCAATTGTATTGTCTCTGACACACCTACTGCTATTACCATAGTCACGAACCAAATCCATCTCACCCGGGGTCTTCCTCTCCTACACTGCCTCCACCCTCCAAAGCACGTCTCTCTCCAAGGACTGGTCCCTTCTTGTAACATGTCCAAAGTATGTCAGACAAAGCTTCGGAATCCTTGCCTCCAAGGAACAGCCTAGTTCAATCCTCTCCATGAATCTGTTTGTTTTCTTAATAGGCCATGGTATATTCAATACTCTTCTCCAACACCACAGCTCAAAGGCATCAAATCTCCTTCTATTATCCCTAGTCATTGCATAGCTCTCTGATGCATAGCAAGTGATTGCAAAGGCCATGGCCTGTATCAGGCGTACCTTAGTCTCTATAGACTGACATCACTGCTCTTCAGTACTTTGGAGAGGTCCCTGACTTTCCCAGTATAATACGTCTTTTAATTTCCTGGCTGCTAGTGCCAAGAGTGTTGGTTGTGGAGCCAAACAAACTAAAGCTTTTTACAATCTCAATCTCTTCACCATCTATCATGATGCTGCCAATCAGTCCAGTGGTGAGAATCTTTGTTTTCTTGATATTGAGCTTCAATCCATATTGAAGGATTGAAGGCTGCAGTCCTTAACCTTCTGCAGCAAACACTGAAGGTCCAACTAGAAACCAAAAATGCAACCTACTGCTATCAATTACACTCTGACTCCCAGGGATCCTACAGGACAAGCAGAACTGCCCTCACTAAATATCCAGACCTATAAATCTTATGGAAGCAAATGGCCACATCTTTCTCCTATGGATTTACTCATGGGTTCAAACCAAGAACTTCTAGATAACAATCAAATATTTGAACCTCTGCACCACCAGGTCTCCTGTGTGAAAGACCAAAAGGTAAACTGATACTATCTACTCAGTAATAGATCTTAACATCTCAAAAAGAAAGACTTCTAGACGTGTCTCACGATGTGATGCAACAGATCATTTACAGCACCACCTACGTGGATACTGGCCTTGGAAACCAATAGAATCAAGCCTCTAGATCTAACTACCAAATTACAGGAAATACAGGGAATAAAGAAACAAGTCAGGAGACAACACAAATGAGGAATCAACCCAGAAAGTGGGGCACTTGTCTATACCTTGGGGTAGCCACTCTTCAGCAAATCAGTGGCATGGAAAAAGGAGGGAAGTAGGATGTTATGCTTAAAAATCTCACAGCCTAATTCCACTAAATCCTATGTAAAAAGATTTATTTGAGAAAATTTCAGCATGACCATTACAGTAAAGCATTACTGTTAATATTCTAAGAGCAATAAAGGCATAGAAATTATATATTATTAAAAAGTCTTTATCAGCAATATAAACTTAAATATTTATGAATGAGATTGCATAATGTTTAGGATGTTGCTTTTACATACTCCAATTCCCACTAAAAAATTTAATAAGTGGAGCAGAAAGAAATAAGTGAACAAGCTTGGCAAAAATGTTGATAACTGTTGAAGCTTGGATGTTGTTTTTAATACTATTCTCTCATATTCTCCTAAGAAATAGAAAAACATTCCCAAGACAAAAATTAATGCACTGAGATGCTTATCTATCAACCATAGTAATGAGTCTGTGCTACCTTCTCTATGATCACTTGGCTGTAGTCTGGGGTACAGCCCTTCTGACACAAAGCTGAAGGTCTCAGCATGATTTGTTAGCATTGGCATCAGAACCCCAACCGAGTGAGCTAGCCAGATGATTCCAGAGACTCTCAAATCACCAGCCTGCCAGATACACATTATCTGGTTTGCTCTCTTCCTTCTTTCAATCCCTTTGATTTTAAAAAGCTCCAAAATATTAAAAAAAAAAAGGTTACATCAAACAAGGGGGGGAAGGTTGAAAATTAAGGGTTTCCAATACTTAGAGAATTTGAAAATGGACCATCCATCCCCCAATTTGAGGGGGGGGGGGAGAAGGCATGCACTTATTTGAAGTGTGCCAAAGATAAGTAAGTAAAACAGTGGTAGCCTCACAGAAGGGTTAACAAGGTAGACATTATTTAAGGTAACCACAACCAGAAGAAAGAAGATAAGAGTAAATACGTATACTGGCAAAGCACAAACGGAATCTCAGGCAGCAAGAAACATAAGCCTCTATGCAGATGAACACTACAGATCTATTTATACAGAAATCCTCAGCAATTCTAGTCACAGACTGCCGAGCTGCCCTCATGTCTTCAGGATTCTGTGCCATGAAAAAGTAACTGTCAAGGATAATAAGAACACGATTTGACCTACTTTCCCCTCCATTCTCTCAGAGTTTCTAACTCTGGGGCTTGTGTTTACCTAGCCACTGCATCTGTGGGACACATTCCCCCCACCTTTTTTGCAGGCAACGCGGTACGCCATGCACATAGAGGTTACTTGTGGGCTCTGAATTTAAGAACATCCAATTACTCCAGCTAATCTCTAGAATGGAGTCCTCGAGTAATATTAGCAAATGCTAAAACAGCTGACTGGTAGCTTGAAAAGTTGATGGTTCCAAATCACTCAGAGGTGCCCACGAAGCAGTCTGACTCTGCATGTTTGGGGTCACCATGAATCAGAATCGACTCAACAGCAACTAAGAGCAGCAGTCTTCAAAACATCCTTCTGAGGTGAGCCACACACATCATTGTTACATGGGCTGGAAGGACAAAGTCTAAGCCAAATTCATTACTGTCTAGTAGATTCTGACTCACAGCAACCCTACACAACAGAGCAGAAATGCCCCAAAGGATTTGTAAAGGCTTTCAGTCTTTACATAAGCAGAACGCAGCATCTTTGCTGGAGTATTCCCAGCACCCACCTCTGCTTAGCGCGCCAGTGCTTAACCACTGTGCCACAATGCTTCCTTAGGCACAGTCTAAAAAGGCTAACGATTCATCAATTCTCCCTACCCAAAGTATACTACTCCACCTGAGTGGCGCTCACACCAGCCCTGTAGGGCAGAACAGAGCTGCCCCATGAGGATTCCAAGGCTGTAGATCTTTAGGTGAGCAGACTGCCTCATATCCTCCCTTCACCCCAGTGGGTTATAGGTTCGAACCTCGACCTTCCAGTTAACAGCATAAGCTAGACTATCACCAGGGCTCCCTGTAAACCACATTGAAACAAGTGTTCCTCCCTAACGTTTAAGGTTCTACAAATCCCTATTTTTCCAAGAGAGTAAAAGCCTTTCCGGTGAGGTCTTTTAAGGCTGACAAGCCAGATTTTCTTCTCAAAATTACAGCTATGAAGTTGACAACGTTGTAGCTTTCCAGTAAAGACTCTTAATGATAGACAAGTTTAAAAAAAAAAAAAAAAACACAACAAAACCTCAGACAAACCAACACAACAGTATAGAACCCACCAAAACTGATTTCCTAACGTGCTGGTGAGTAAGTGAGGCCCTGACCTGAGGCTCTGGCAGATCCTGCCACCCAGGAGTGGCTTGTGAAGGATCCTCGTAGTTAGTGAGGCAGCAGGCCATTCCCGCTTAACATACAAAACATGTCTGACCTGCTCAGGTCGTTAAATGCACTTAGAGCCCCACGAGGGACACTCCTTCACCAGGAAATCATATCCAAACACACCATCAGGAAGTCAGTGTTTAAGGTTCCCGGGGGTGTGCACCCTTCAGCTCAAGGGGGCGTCACCGAGTAAAGGCAGGAGGTGTGCGAACCCGGGAGGTCAGAGTTCACTCAGGTACTTCCAACTCCTGGGTGTCCTCGCCCTTGGGCTGGGGTGGCGGCCGGAACCAGCCCGAGTGCTCAGCTCCTGCAACGGGGCGCCCCTGGGAAGCGCACAGGTCCCATGTCCCCTGCAAGCTGGGGTCCCACTCGTGCGGCCTGAGGCTTTCTGTCGGGGCTGATCTGGCTGTTAGGCACCGGACACCTGCAGCTTCCCCTCCGGGAAGAGGCAAACGGCCGTGCGAAACCCACGGTCCGGCCACCTCAATTCAGGTGCCCGGGGCTGAAGTCAGGTGCAGCTGGGGGAGGGGAAAACCCCGCGTCCCGGGCCCCTTTCTCGGCGACTCCGGGGGCTGAGTGCGCCTTTCAGCGCGCCCCCAACTTTCGGCGCCCTCGCGGGGGTCGGGCAGGGTTCGGGGCGGCCGGCGGGGCGGCCGCGCAAGGTCCACGTGCGCTCCCTCCAGAGCGGGCAGGGCACTCACCCGGCCCCCGGCGGCGCTCCGCTTCCTCCGCAACGTGAGCCCGCTCCGCAGCAGCGCCGGCAGGTCCTTGA